TCTGGTCCTGTCTGGCCTTAAATCCACTGTCATATTGGTTAAACATAAAATACAGATACATCAACAACACAACAAAAGCAACAAAATATACAGAGGGGATGCAAAAGTAGGTATACAGTTGTTATTGTGGAAAAAAACAAACATACAGGGAGAAAATAAAAACTGTTTTTTCTTCCTATGTACAAATTAAAATCACAAATAAGGAATATGAACTAATAAAAGTCTGAATAAAATCCTGCGGTCTTGTCAGAGTGTGTAGTGATATCGGACCCTCTCGTCCTCCCTCTCTGGGGGGTTTTGTTGGGGCAGATGTGATCCATCCATCGACACACACTAACGAGGGGCCGTTAAGACCGGGGAAGAAAATGCGGGAAGAAGGAATTTTTCAGAGGAATTCGGGGCCCGAGAGGGAGAGGGAGTGTGAAGTAGCGGTCCCTGAGAGTGAAATAAAGATTTTTGTGGAAAGATTGGACTGGTTAATTGGCGAGACGAACCGATGGGGTGGAATCCGCTAATTAAGAACGGGTTCCCTACAATGATTATTTAAGCATTTATGAACAACATTGTAAAAAAACAGATGATTTTAATCCAGAAATTATTTAATTATTCAATTTTTTTTGCAAGTGATGTGAAGTGCCAATAGAATTTTTATATATTTGTGTTCATAATAGCTTACAACAACACTGTAGAAGTAGGTTTGTCCTTTCACAGCATCATCTACCATCAACAGCATAATTTGTTCGTAAATTCTAGAAATAGTTTAATTTGTTTATTTACTTTCCTGGTAACATTCGTCACTCTTGAATGTTTCCGCCATTTTTCAACAATATCCCATGAATCAGTACGCAATGTGAATGTGTGGCACAATGTGTTTCGCTTGGAGTTCAAACATCAAACGTGTACCGCTTGCCGTACAAGTTTAAGTTTAAACTTTGGTTGCAACCTCTATGAACACTAAACATTTGTATTTCTCAGATTCAACTGTGTAACTACTTTTGCACTCCTCTGTATATTATTGATATCATCTCTCATGTACTTGAAAGACAAAACTATGCATCCACCCATGCAAAAATAAATGACCTATTAAAATTACTCACACTCCACTGACATTGATACAAATGAAGTTTGGCCTAGACCAGGGGTGGCACGCATGCCCAAAGTGGCATGTAAGGAGAAATCATCTGGCACGTAATGTATCATACGATTTCTGTCTTTTTCAATCATCTTTTCGATTTATCACCTGATCATCCTTTTTTCAATCAGATTTTTTACATTTATTCTAATTAAAGCGTATTTGTTTAATTTCTTTAAATATCATTATTCGAAGTCTGAAACTTTGGCACGCATAAACATCTTTAAAGCTAAGTATGCTTACAATATGGCACACAAACAGAAAAAGGTTTGCCATCCCTGGCCTAGACAAATGCAAAACACTTCACAATGAAAGAAACCATAAAGAAAGACTTTGCCCTCTGAAGTGGATGCTTTGAATTCACAGAATGGAATCCTAATCTTTGTAGACAACCAACTAAGTTCACAGAACATGTACAAATCAGACTAACAAAAGAATACAAGTTAAACTCAATACTAAGCAAACAATTTAATGCAAAACCCATTTAAAAAGCAATGAACACACATCATCCAGTATGCACATATTCATTTGAAGTTATACAATATATTATACACAAACACATAACTAGAACAATTCCAAAGAAAAATATGAACAACATTAACAAAATATAAAAACATTACTTTAACTTCTCTTAGAGCAGGCTTGACCAACTTATAGTGGGGGAATGATCGACTTTCATGAGCTAAAAACACCAATGATTACTCCACATTTGTTTCATGAAAGCTTAATAATCCACCTTAATGAAATTATTCTATAAATCATAGTTGTATTTATGTATTGCACAGTAATTGACATTCCAGGTTTTGGTAAGAACACTTAAGATATAAATTAAACATCATTTATTTTTGACAAGAAAAAAAAATTTGTATTTCTTTCTGTCACAGAAATTATAAGTTTTGCTTCTCTTTGACACACTCATTTTGCACAGAACTTAATTGTTTATGGTGCAACAAAATTTCTAAAATAACATACCTGGTCAGCAATGACCATCACAAAAAACACTTCCTATTAGTGATGTAACGAATATTCGGTTACTATTTGGTATTCGACCGAATACCGAATATTTAATCACTATTCGGCTGAATACCGAATACCTAAAAACAGGAGTAAGAAATAACAAAAACACTGTAAATTAATCATTTTGGTATTTAGATTTAATGTTATTGGGTTAGTGTTGTTTGTTTATATTTATTTATAACTTATAACATACACAAAATAAAAAAAAATAATATTAGTCACACATATTTACAATTTATAATTACAAATATCAGCACACGTACACACCTATTCATTCGAGAATCGTCGCACACATCTGAGGGTCTGACCCTGCCTATCCTTTTTAAGTGCTCGTCTTTGCTCTTTCCTTTCTCTTTCCTCTAGCTCTCTAGTCCACGTATGCCTATGCATACATCATAATACATGCTCACGATACTTTCGATTCTTCACTTTTCTGTCATAGTTTTTCCATTTTATAATTATGTGACTCATAGCCTGGTGGAGAAAAGAGACAGATACGTCGGTATATGTCACAGTTATGATTTCACAGATTCCAGACAGCTTGATAGCCCGAACAGTCCCAGGCTTTTGCCCATGCACGCTAAGTGACTTTCATTACAAGCATTTAGCTTTCCGAAGTCTATGACAACAATTGTTTTGGCACTGACGGCCGCAAATTTCGCACCAATAAGCTGCTTCAACTTGTTCGATTATGTTATCAACTCAATTTCATATTTATTTTCACATTTTCACTTCGCGTCTTTCTCTGTTCTTTTTCTGTTATTTACACGTGTAGGTCATTTCATTGTTATTCACATTTAATATCATTTATCACATACTGCCATGACGCTCTTGTCTGTCCGCTACAACTGTCAAGAATTAACGCAATTGGCGAAGCGTAGTGATAGCAGGCCAATGGAGAGCAGGGTCCTTGCCATAATGCGGTTTGCGTGCCAATTTTCGTATGTGCGTTAATCAAGCCGAATAGTTTGGCCGAATATACTATTCGTTGCAACACTACTTCCTATCCATCTCAGAGCATTACCAACCCATAGAAAACAGTTAAAAGATTTCACTGAAAAATTTGTAATTTTAATAATAATATTAAATCCATATGCTTTTCATGTTTTAACAAACCATATTATATGAGATTAACCAAAAATGATGCAGTGATCGACTTGTTGACCATGCCTGTCTTCGAAGAAGAAAGGCCTTACAGATACAGTAGAAGTTCATTAATCCAGCATCCAAAAATCTGGAAGTCTGATAATCTTTTATCTATTATTCCATAAATCAAAATTTATTTGGGTACACGACAAAAGGTGGGGTTGTAGCAATGCACACACTGCAACTCATGAAACTGCATGAAACCAATAGAAATAAAATTACACCTTAAAATATACTCCAGCAATAAATTTTAATGAAACAAACATTATTATTATTAACATTTATTTCTGGCATTCCCTCTAGTTTCTAGAATAGTTACATGAGATCAATAGTAATATGATTGATAAAAATTATTCATTTTGTTTGTGTTGGATTAAATGCTTTCACTTAAAAGTAATCTAACAATAAAGCGTTAATTATAAATAAAACTTATGAACCTTATTGAGCTTTGTACGTGGTTTGAGAACTTACGTTTAGTAATGTAATAGTTCTCAAATCACGTACAAAGTTCAATAAGGTTCGTAAGTTTTATTTATGCTTTCACTTGGTGTTTCCCATGCTTAATACATATTTATCATACTAAAGCCAAACAAGCTGGTGCAAACATCTTTCAGGATTAAACTTTAAAGCATCACCTGCTGTTTCCAGGTTTCAACAAGAATTCAATCCTCACATCATTTGCACTGCTATATCTATAAAAAGGAGCTTTCCTCCATAACTCTGCTAGTCATTTTAAACTCACTCTTCACTCACTCTCACTAGTGACAGATAAAAAGCAATCAACATTCCTTCAGCAAAGCCAATAGAATTGACAGACCAATCTGATTTTAGACTTCTCTAAATCAAACTCCTAGCACTATTAGGTATTAACATCAACCATCTACTTACACTCACAAGAAGTTTTACACCTATGTTCCTCACAAATTTTGATGAATTTTGGCACAAAAGTTAGTGTTTGATATGATAATACAATAAAACCTCCATTAACAAACACTTCTGAATACTGGACACCTCTGCTTAATGGACATTTTTACAATCCCCAGACCCTTCAAAATTACCCTATTATTTTTATCTCTAAATAGCACACTGTAAATAACAGATGCTGTCATCTGTAGCCAACCTCACAAAAAACAAATGTTTAGTCTTCAATACAAGGGCATACAAACAGATCTCATACTTTGAGCATGTATAGCTTTTGTAAATATGTATATAGCACAAGTCGGAAAAACAAACATTACAGCATATGTACACAAAATCATTGTTAATGTTGATTATGTAATAATATGTTACTATTTTAATACTTATTTCAATCAAACTTAACAGTATAATTGTGTGAGGCAATATCTTCATACTGATTAAAAGTGCAAGCGTAAACAAATCTGAAATATACAGTAGTGTGTTTTGGTACAAAATATACAGTAATGTCTACAATATTCAGATCACAAATAACTTATCAAATTTTGTGAAAATACAAAAAATATCCAATAATCTGGCACCATTCTGGTCCCTTAGGTCACATTAAAATAACTTCTACTGTATAATAAATCTTCACTATAAAAGAAATACAAACACTACAAGAGTATTTCTACAAAACAAAAAAAAAAAAAAAAATCATTACAATTACATAAAGCTGTTACTCTTTCAGACAAGAACAATACACCATTAAACCTACACAACACTAATCTGGATATAACAAAGTACATACAACATGAATGGTCTTGAAGTTGGAAGGCGTCTGGAAGGATCCAAGGTAGGCATCCTAATAATCTTGGCCAGGCTCATGTTGAAAAAACTGCATCAAACTGCTGGCTGGCTCAGGAATACTCTTTGAAAAGATGAAAGATTTTCACTGCCAGGTTATGACTACCATATAAGACCAGGTCATAAATATAAGAAACTACAGAAAACATGTTAAAAGAAACACTTAAGGCTAGTTCATACGAAGTACGATTCACTAGCAAACCAAAAGCAAATTTTACATCATTAGTGGAATCATTTCCAGCAAATGTTTGTATAGTGAATCATGCTGGCAGTCCAATGCATTTAAGTTTTTTGCTGGCAAAAAATATTCCCATCAATCAGAATGGCAGATTTGTTGATGTGTTTTTTTACTTTTTTTATTGCTTTCCACCATAATAAAGCAAAACTGTCCAACTAGTGGAAAATTTTTGAACAAAATTCCATTGTTTCATGCAAAATAGCAAGTCATTCTAACCACTGGTTCTTATTTCTGACCACTGTGAAATTGGAACTTTATTTATAAATCACCCTGTATATACATCATGCTGGGTAAAAACTTAGTCAACTGAGAGCCATGGAGGGTTGTTGACAATCACCCTTAGTCAATTTGGTGAGTGACAAGCATGTTTATATCTAAATTAATTGGTCTGGAAGCCAAGATCTGATGAGGTAGCATAATTGGTAACATATTGTATGGTATGCAAGAGTTTTGAGTTCTCTTTCTGGTTGGTCCAGAGAATAGAATATTCTGGAAGAAAAGATTTAAATTAAAATTTATTTCTAATTATTAAATTTAACACAAGATGGTGACTTAACTGCCTATCTCCAGTCTTAGTAATTATTTAGTCATATGATAGCCCAATAAGAATCCAGCTGTATCATTTGATTAGTGAGTGAGCCATAATTACAAAACAATCCATGACAATAGGACAGATCTCACTGTGACAAACAAAACAAAAATCACATATGTCAGACTAGCAACAAACAATTGTTCCACAACATACAAAATACATACATTGAAAAAGTAGAAAATCCTCAACTTGTTTATAAAATATTGTCTATGGAGAATGGATCAAGGTATTTATTGTGCCAGTAGTCCTTTTACACAGACATCATGTCATATACACAACATAAAAGTGTGGAAACATTAGACCTTAACAGCACATACATCACATTAGAAAAAGTAGACACATCACATACAAAACTTTTAAATATAGCTATATACCGTGTGCACTATTTGTGTAACAGTTAAAATAAAATAAATTACACTTCACACCAACTTTTGAATATATAATAACTACACTTAAGTGTTGTGGCATTACCAATATCAACTTTTAGTGTATGAGAATGTTTGCTAGTACTTACAGTAACATAAAAGTTACCGTCATCAGGCAAATATCAAACACAACAGCTATCGAATTTTATGTTTTCAAACAATATTTGAAATTAAATATAGCATGTGGACAGAATATAAAATGACGGTAACTTTATGCCATTGAAAGTACTAGCAAACATTCTCATACGCTAAAAGTCGATATTGGTAATGCCACAACACTTAAGTATAATTATTATTATTATCTGATATATTTATTATATATCAGATAGCATTTACTATTAATAATAACTATAAAAATAGTGGTAGATACATACTAGAAATTGTAGATGAACTTAAAAAAAATGTTCACTTAACAGTAAAAAAAAAAATGAAAAGTTCAAGAAAGTGTCTAATAAGTACTAATATTAAAACATAAATGGACATACAAGAAATGAACAGGAGAGTTATGTTCATTTATACATGCTTTAAGGAAAAATTATCTGCATGGCAGACAATGTCAATACTATGCAAATAATTCTTAATATATATATATTTTTTAAGACACTCCTTGTAAGTTTAGAAGGAAAAAAAAAATTCTGTTTAGCATCCATATTTTGGACAGATCAACTAATGACTGACCAATGGCAAATTCTATTTTACCATTTTAAAATTCTGTATTTGTTGGCTTAAAAACTACAAGATCTATAAAAGAAATCCAGCTGATTAGGATGCATTAGTTCTAACCACCTGTCTACAAAGAACTGAATGTCAAATAACTGTTGGACATGATTCCCACATGTGATCCATTAGAAAAAGAAGTCTCAGCCTCAAGATTCTTTGCCTCTGCCTTATAGGTCAATACACATTGCAAATATTCAAATATACTAGTATGTACAAAAGACAGTGTAGATGAAGAAAATAACAAGAAGAAAGCATAGCAGTCTACAACTAGATAAGGTGATTTGTAATATTGTGATTAATATCTATGTGATAAGCCATCTGAGTGGCCTTAGCAAGTATGACCTAGTAATAAGACACTGTAATTGCTTTTAACTATGATTATAACAACATTGTTCCAATTTGCATATCGTTAGCTTTGTTTTATTTCACTTTTGTGTTGGAAAGAAATTATTTTCCGTTTTTTTTTTTTGTACTGAAAGTTTTTCTATTAATTATTTCTTTATTCCAAGGATTTCTTTACTCTGTGATTTCTACTGGATTAATGCTTGATTATCCAATGAAGTTTTTCTATGAAATATTTAAAGTTCTAACTAATTGGCTAGTTTGTTTTTAATATTTTGTTGTATATTCACTGTTTAAAAGATAAGCTTTCTAATTGGCTAGCCTCATCCATTTATCTATATAGCCAATAATCAAGATTTGATATTGAAAAGATCAAGATTTATAGTATTGGATAGAATATTTGGCTACTCAATATTCAACTAAATATTTAACACATGTATTTGATATTAAGACTGAAAACTTCCTCAAAGCCAAACTATTTGGCTTATGTATTCATAAGTAGTAAATAATTTTGTTGTTCATCATAAATACTTCTAGCTTTGCTGAGCATAGAGTACATTTACTAAATGCACTGTTTAGTGGTATTGAAAAAAACCAGGTCTCAATGGCAAGATTTCATTTTTTACTTTTCATTACATAATTTTTTAGAAATAAAACTGTATATAATGTAAAAACATAACCAAATGATTGCCTTAAATAAATTGGGCTATAACTCTGCTTAATTATTAATACTAAATAATTTGCTACTAGAGGTAGACATTAGGTGCCATCTCAACTAATTGTTGATATACTTGTTATATATATGCAATGTTTGATATACTTCTGTATATAATCTATTACTGAATAGAAGATGCTACTTTCTAACTTACTCTAACCAATGATTCCCAGAGAAGACACTATAGTCCCCTTGGGAACACTCATGAGGAAGTTGGAAAGAAAGTAAACATTAGGGAACATTGAAAAACATGGAGAATAAAAATTCATTTCAAAACAAAAATATTTTACTACTAAACTTAAAATCAGATAAACTACAAAGTCAGTTTTTGGGATATACAACTTTATGCATAATTGCAAAAAGTACATTTCTTTGTAAATGTAATGTGAAAATACACAAGTTACAAGTTCAGTGATAGCATAATCTTATTTATATATTAAAAAAAAATGTATAAGATAAGACGGTAAAGTTAAGCTTTTTTTATTTAAATAGAAAGGTAAAATACAGTACTGGGAGGATTCATTTTAACAAGTTTAACTATTACAGCAAAGCATGCAATATCCACAAAACTTTCATCATCATTATTTTATTTACCACGAGTTCTGCTGTGATAATGTTGCCAATAGCTTCACACAGTGTTTAAAAGAATCTGACAACAAACTATTTAAAATAACATCTCTCTTATTTTACCCTGACTGTAAATAGTCAAATTTAATAAAATTATCTTCTCAATATCTGGAACAAAGTACTAAACACAATCAGCAAAATCTTTAACATCCAGTAACAAAAAATACATAAATTAAATCTAAATTTAAGTTTTTACATTTAAATTTTTTGTTATAGGATGTTAAAGATTTTGTTGATTGTGTTTAGTCAATTTAATAATGCTACTTATGGATATTAAGCCAGGTGTGAAAAAATTAGTCTCATTGCATCAGGCCCCATCATTAATTATTTTTATATTAATCAATGAAGTACTTTGAGGTATGTTTGGACTATTATCTTTTGTTTATTTTATAAACTTTTAAATTTAAAAAATTAAAATTTCATTTTCAGTATATCATTTTTGACTGCTTTTAAGGGGGGTTGGAAGTCTGAAAAAGTTTGGGAAAACACTGCTCTAAGTCTTTTGTTTTATGCATTCCAAATACAGTATGTCAAGCTGATATTTAACTGAATATTCAGTTTTCAGGAAAAACAAGAATATTCCAGTATTTGGTAACAGTTGCATATGAATAATTATTCAGTATTCAGCCAAAAAACATTATTTGGCCCATCTCTAGTTATTTATTCAATAAATCTGCTTATTTTTTAATTTCTTAATATTTCTTGATTCAAAATTATTTGACTACCAATAATATAAAATACTTTTAGTTTTTATCCACTTATTATAGTAATATTTCATTTCAGTGTTGATTTGTTTATATCAGTTCTGTAAGCAACATGCATTGTAACCTTTTATCAACTATGATACAGATGAATCATTTCTGAAGTCATGGTTTTTCCAATTCCAATGAATGATTTAGATCAGGGGTNGGAGTTTTGGGCCACAAGTATACTGTATATTATACATACTTGTGGTCCAATATACAAGTATATTTAAAAATTAACATGTCTAGATTATAATAATAAGTATTAAAACTTTATCAAGAAAAAAGGATATTTTAAAAAATTACTTCTACAGACACTTTCAATTTTTACTTAGAAATAGATAATTTCATTTATTATAAAAGAGAGAAACGAAAATTTATTTGAAAAACACAAATATTTGTTTTATTTGGGTCTATAATTAATAAAAAGCGATGAAACACCATTTTAAAGTGCATTTTTATTCAATTAATATAATTATACATAATATTAGCCGAAAAAGTAGCCAAAGCGCCAAATTATATTTTTTACATCAAGCAAAAAAAAGTAGCCACATTTGGCCCAATGTAGCCAAATCTTGCAACGCTGGAAGAAATACTAAATAAAGCTGGAGTTGTGATTCAAAGGATTATAGACCTAAGTGCTGGGAAAAAGAGGCAAAGGACAAAAGATAAAGAAGTGAAAAAGGTTGAAAAATTACGGGTTCATATTTGCTTAACAGAAGATCTATTTAACGTTCCTCACTATTACATCTTTTGTCCTTTCTCATCTTTCCATTTTTTTTCCACAAATTTGGGTCTATAATTCTTTGAGTCACAACTCCAGCTTTATTTAGTAATTCTTCCACATTCACACATTTCCAAGTATTTGAAA